GCAGGTTTTTCCTTACTCACGTGGCCTTCCTAACCCTGCTCCCTTTGTTCTCAGGGAAGAGAGACCCACAGATCTCCTAAAGCTGGAGTTACAGGCACTTGTAAGCTGCCCAACGTGAATGTTGAGCGCTAAACTCAAGTCCTTTGGAAGAGCATTAAGTGCTTTTAACCACTGTGCCATCTCTCCAGCCCCTGTTACATTCTTTTCTTTATGAGTTATGTAAGTTTGTAAAGAATAGAGATAAACACAGCAAAGGTCCAGAGCAAGGGACAGTTTCTGGTCTTGAGCAAGTATATATGCTAATGCTCATATAAACAGATATAAAGTCCTAGAATTAAGATGAAAAACATAAGCCAGGCATGTTTCATACTCTTAAACCCAGCACTTACTTGAAAGTCAGAGGCAGGAAGATTGCTGCTGAGTTTGAAGACAGAGCAGGCTGCAGTGTGAGATCCTGTCTCATAAAAGTAGGGAAAGGATGAAAACTGTTGTTGAATACAAAATATTGATAATATTCACGTTTAAATGTTTCTAAATGTGTTAGTAGTGACATGAGCATGAGTTATGAGAAACAAACAAAAATGTATGTCCTTTTCTTGAGACAGTGGGCCTTAGTATAAGAAATAGCATTTTGATATTAATCTGTGCCAGCCAGAACACTATTTCAACCTGAGTATCATATTTTGGAAGAACAAGACACACAACTACAGTTAACGGGTAAATAGTAATGGGGGAGCTTTCTGGAAACTGTCTGGAGGAAGGGTTGAAGAGTTCTTTCATTGACCCTGGGGAAGAGAAGACCCAAGTGGGTGTGGAGCTATGGGAAAGAACCATCAATACCAAAAGGTAAAGTCAGGAAGGAAAGGTTGATCAAAATACTGAGGGACATTTCTGACTCTGAAAACTAAGTGTATTGCCGTAGAAGACAGGAAACTCCTCACACAAAATGGTCACAAGTGCCTAGAAGGCCCCTCTGATATCAGGAAAGGAGCTACTGATGCAAACCAAGAAATCCCAATACCGTGAAATCAATCTATTCTCAGAAGACATGGTGAGAGTAAGCCTGCAGAAGTCAGAAATGTTCTTGTAATATGACAGGATAAAAATGATCCTGGGTGTGGGCTGGAAAGATGGCTCAGTGATTCAAAGCACTGGCTGCTCTTGTAGAGGAAAGGGGTTCAATTCCCACCACCCATATGCTGGCTAACAATCATCTGGGGATCCAACACCCTCTTATGACCTCTATGGGCATTGTATGACATGGGTGCACTTACATACATGCAGGAAATACACTCATATACATGAAATAAAAATAACAAACTATTTTGTAAATGATCCTGGGAGATAAAGGCACAAAAGTATGTTCACGAAAGTCAGCGTGCACAGGCTACCTGGCCTCATTAGCTGGCCTGATGATAAATGTCTGCAAAAGGAGGAAAGTCTACCTAAATCAAGAAGATAACTCTAGAGAATGCTGGTACATTTAGCATTCAGAGTAAGACCAGGGTTAGTGAATTGTACTCACTAACCTTTTCTGACCAAAGTCCTGTGCTACAATAGTTGTGTACATTCCTTTCAAAGACATCCATTTCTCTGCATCCATCTGTTGTCCACCAAGAAGACCTCCCCCACCCCCCGCCCAGGAAAAGAAAAGTTTCATTTCCTCTGTTAGCTTTGATGGTTACCTGATAAGAGGAAGACGGTGTCTGGAATGATGAAGCTAAATGATGGGTGCAGTCTTAGACACTCTGAAGGTTACACAGGAAGCCTGGTTTAGAGTCCCAAGTTTACCAGTCAGCCTTTTAAAAGGGTGACCTTATTTCAAAAAGATGATAATATTGTTTCTAAAACTAACAGGATAAGGTTGCTATCAGAGACCATAGCTTGGCTGCCACCCTGTGGACATAGCTGAAGTCACCCCCACTCTGAATATCCTGCTTCAGAATTCTCAAAGCACCAACAGGATGCGACATGTATGATCCTCAAGGACTCCACAGGCTCTGTATGGCCTGAACTTGGGCATCAGAACTGTTAGAATGATTATTCTCAGTTCTGAGGGATTATTAAACTAACTTGAGGGTCATACATGAAACCATTTATTTATTTTTTTCATGAACATTATTTTCCCTTAAAGAGAAAACGTAGGAATATTACACACACACACACACACACACACACACACACATACACACGCACCCACCCAATGTGATAGCCTAACTGAAAGTGATTTTATTTTCCACTGGAACAGGAATTGTATTTTACTTATTTGTTGAATGTATCAGTGAATCTTCTTGTTTTACAAGTAGATAATTGGAATCTTTTATACTTTTCTATAACATCCTTAAAGCAACGTGAAAAATTTTCATAGTGATGTGCATATAAACTGGTACTTATGGATAATAATTTTTTTTTTCTTTTACTTGAAGTATCTAATAATAGTCTTTTCTTACTTCTTGAGGGTCTTCTAGGACACTTTCCACTGACTGGGGTTGGCTGGATTTCATTTGCACCTGGAGTTGAGGCTCCCTTGGTGGTCCTCCTCACATCTTTCTTCGGTGTGTAAAGGAGACATATAGAGGGCTGGGCTGCAAACTGTTTCCTTTTGGCTTCAATTTTTCTTTTCACTTTTGTCTCAAATGAAGGTGTCCTTTCACTCCCTTAGCGTTAAGGCCTTAATTTGTTTCTAGACCCTAATAGCTGACAGTCCTTGGTTTTTATTTTCCCTTTTCATTGTCTTTTCTTCAGAGATGGCCTCAGGCCTCAGGATTTCACACTCAGTGCAGCTTTCCACAAACTGAAAATCACAAGCCTTGCCTTCCTTCTGGCTCCTCTCAAAGCAATCATCTTCCTCCTTGCTGCTGAGCACATCCATCCTCTGACTCGGTTCCACTTCTGTCCAGCTCCTGCTCTGACACCTAAGATGGTCATAGACATCTGAAACACGGCATCCATAGACTCAGTCACTCCTGAAGAGCTGCTGAGCCTCCCAGGTGACCCAATACTACCTTGTTTCCATAACTCTCGTTCTTTGGCTTCTTTGAAACCCATATATTTTTTATTAGTCTACTTCATTTTCCTTCTCTCTTGTGGAATGTGCCACGTCAAGCTAGATATTACAGATGATCTTTTGTGATGCATTGGTGCTCTGCTCAGGCATATTTATTCTCAATGACAGTGGCTGCCAAGTCTGCCATGAATACTCTGCTCATTGTTTTCTCCAGGAAATAACAATTGAAACAGTTTGGAAGATTTCAAATGTGTACTCATGCCCGTAATGCTAGATCCGTTCTGACCATGTGCCTAGGTCAAAGAAGATTCGATATCCTTTGAAGACTGATTCCTATCCACAAGGTAAAGACATTCAATCTGGCTCCCTTATGCAAATGGAATGGCACTGGGATATACCGCCTTTGGTTTTGATGTGAGACATCATTTGATATGAGCCGCAGGACTTATAAATGGAATTATTATAGAGAAAAATATGAGTTCTTGGTGCTGGAATCCCTTGGAGTTATTCCTATACCCATTTGGGGGGTAATTCAGCTTTTCCAGGGACCCATGAACTATTCCAGGACAAACCTTGTTTGGGTTAAACTTGCCATACTTGACTTCTATTACTTACGGACACACTTCTCATTCAGGAATCTCTACTTGTGTTAGGTGCCCTCCCAGTCCACTGCCCAGCAAGGGCCTGAAATTAGACCCTGCTCTTTGCTTCTTATGAAGCTCACATTTAGAACAATCACACCAGGTTTGCTTTATCTCTAAAATAATCCTTTCCCTTTCCACATCCTCTGCTGCTGTCTGGCTCTAGTCTTTACTCTCTTTGCTGGGTTCTTTCCTTGTTTCATGGGTGATTCTAGCCACATAATTTCTTCTGCCTAAAACTTGAGGCAGTCTTGTAGCTCTCACCATGATTTTGAAAACCACTTTTGGCTCCCAAGGACATGGGATTCATCTTCTGCCTTTCTATGCACCATCCAGGCTTAGCAACCAATCTTACCTAACCCTTCTCTGGGATACACTGCTTCTCTGACTTTTCCACAGCTGGGCCTTACTACATTGGCCTCTCTCATTGGCTCTCTCATGCCCTTGTCCCATCCCTAATAATGAAGACACCTCCTTCCATACTCCTGAAGAGAATATCAAAATAGTTCTTGAAGTTCATCTTCCCTGCAGGAAATGGAAGTACTGGCTATACTAGATTCTTTGCATTCTGGTCACAGATCAGTAAGTGGATGTTAAGTGCAATGGATCATGTACCCATCTAACACTCACCAGGTTAGAAAAAAGCCTAGAGAGAACAGTCAGCACCTAAGTGCCTGTTTATCATGGTCTTAGCCCAAGTTAGGAAAAAGACAGGGTAAGGGTTGCTAGATAAGTGAATTAAGAAGACTGTAACCAGACCTCCCTCCAGTCATCAGTTATATAAAAACCGAGCCTCATGAAATTGCTAGTAGACTACAGGATGAACCTATTTATATAGATGCATATTTGATGAAAAACTTCCATGTATATGAATTAATGTTTACTGTGACCCTGCCATGCAGTTACATTTTATGAATGCTAGTTTGTAGATGAAGAAACAGCCATGTCAGATGGTTTGAACAAGGTCACACAACTAGTAAATGACAGACCTGTGACAGGAAATTGCCTTCTAAATTCAGGATCCAGTGTGTTCTCTGCTATGCCATGTGGCCTCACCAGTGAAAACATTAGAAGACAATGGCACAGGATATTAGGGAAAGTGGGAACAAGACATGTGTGCTATGGAGGGGGGTATGCTTCTAGGGCATCTGATATCCCCACCCCAACCAGTCCTGATTGGCATACATGTGAGCATTTCTTGCTGGCCGAAGAAGGCTTACTACCTTCTACGGAAGGTATTGCTCACTTTCAGGAATATATAATCAGGCTATTTCCCCCATCCCCAGCCACTCTGAGATTCCAGGCAGACTTGAATCTACATGGTGAGCATTGGTTGGAGCAGGAGGGGGGTGCACATTTGTATTCAGTTTATTCAAATGATTGGATTTACACTTTTGGAGGCTTTTTGAAGCATCTTATCAAAAGAAAACACATTTTAAGCAATAGGTTAAAAAAGCTTTTAGGACCCAAAGGCCATTTAATACCATAAATCCTACTTGGGTAGTTTAGCAAACATTTTTCAAAACCCACAGCCAACAGACTTGTTAGTATCAGAGAGACAGATTTGGTTTCAAAGCTGAAATGCTTCTGGTGGACTAGAATTTCTCATGAAATTCAGTCATTTTATAGTAAGTCATAAAAAACAGGCACCTTTGTACTGACAACTTAAATACTAACTCAGTTGCTACTTGGTGATATGAATAGGAAAGAAAAAAGTACCTGTGGAGGAGAGTGAAGACTATGACATTAGCATCCTACAAAGAATTTTAAATCTATCCCAGAATCTAAAACAGAAAAAAAGTCATATTTCACTCAAGATAGCCCCCATTGGCCCAAAACATCTCAAGGAGTACATCCCTCCACATGAGGCTTACTAACCACTGCTACAGATGTTGCTATGTCACTCACTAGTAACAATGATCACAGAAAATATCATACACAATGCATTAGGAACAGAAGCCCTCCAAAAACCACTGTTGGAGGGCATCTCACAAATGTCCACTCACTGCTCCAAGAAGCCACACCTAAGAGGCACTAGGCATTCACTTGTCACTGAGCTCTGTGTAGTAGGTGCCCCACTCCAGGGGAAGGGGCTGGATAGAAAGACAGTCCCAAGCAAGTGCCACACCAGCATCTTCTATTCCTGTGCTTCCTTACGGGTCAACTTGTAGATCTCGGTGGGTCCATCCACATGGGTGATGGTGGTGGTGAGCTGCAGTTCTTCTACACTGTGGATACCCAGGTCACCTGAAACAAGGTATTTGTTTTTAGACTTGTTCAATAATGAAGAGAAAGCAAACAAGGAGCCACCTCACATTTGTACTGATAGGCTAATTCCCAACATTTTCACTTGGGATTTGTTATATTTTTTAATGCCACTTTTACCTCCCCAATGGGTCATTAATGATATATGAGTTATATCACCACTGATATTATTCACAGTAATTATTAACATTTAATGAGAGTTTACTTTGTGTTTGATACTATTTAAATACTTACTACTGATCTTATATAATCTTCACAAGAACAGGCTATAGTGCAGGCAGTATGATCATGCCAGCTATACAGGTGAGAAGCCTGGGAAAGAAAGCAAGGGAGATACTCTAGGTAGAGGAACAGGCACAGGACAACATAGCTGTGAGGCCTGGGAAGGTACATCTGACTCTGGGGCCAATGTTGTGGGCTAAGTCAGTATAGCATACTTCACAACAGATGGGAAGATACATAACACCTGCTGAGGATAACTTCTACAATGGCTATGTCGCCACAGGCAAAAAAGATCTGCCTAGCCTAACCAAGTACATGGGCAAGCTCCTGTATAGAATACACCCAAGATCAACTAGGGGCTTTCCTCTTCAGGAACAAAGTACCAAAAAAGTATGTAAAATTTTCTTCTATCCCTCAGAACTCCCTACATACCTGGGTCTTGAACTCATCAGCAGCTGAAGAACTGTTTGGCTAAAATGAAATAGCATGAACTTTCCTCAATTAGTAGGAAAAATTAAGTTAAACATTAGAGTCTGTTATTCATCATCCAACTATTGTCAGAATGAACTAGCAAACTAGTAAGAGAAGAGTAGAAACCACCCAGAACCAATGCTCAGTTTCACTGTGTGAGGTACATACACATTTATAGATAGAAGTACAGGAAAAGAAAATATGGTATGTATGTGTGTGTTTTCATACTGTTCAATAACAATATTTTCTGGAGCTGAAATATTTCTTAGTTTAAATTATAGAGCTAAACAAACAAACGCTGTTTAAAACTGTGATGTCACCCTTAACTTAGAAGCAGCCCTTGTCCTTCCCTCAGACACTGTCCTGGGTGTTGACTGATCTCCAGGACATTGTCCTGACATTCAAGGGACCTAATAGTCCATTGCACACTATTCTGGGCATTGAGGGACCTGACAGTCCGTTGAATATTGTTCTGGGCATTGTTAGATATTATCATGGGCACTGACATTCTTGACAGTCTCAGAGTCCCTGAGGTGAGGTCATCCCACTAAGTCCCTACAGGTTGCTCAGCTGGTCCCTTCATGGATGTCATGTGGTTGTTTTTCAATATAGATCCATTTTTCAGTACTGTGCCAAAATCTGTTCCATTATTAAACATGAGTTTATAGCTCTCAAGCAAATAATGTTCTAAATAAGCAGGCATTAGCTCAATTTTCAGCGCTTCTATTAGATATACTTTAGGGCAAGAGAAGAAATGCAAAGCAAAGCTGGTGAGAGGCAGTATGGATGCCACCTGAAGCCAAGTACAGCCACCACTTATACAAGTAGCACATTCTTCCCAGTCACTAACTTGTATTCTGCTTTTCCTGTTTTTTTTAAGTCAGCAGACAAAGTTATATGTTTAATGATGGTGTTATATCAATACACTTTGTTACTGCTCATGTCCTTCCCTCACTACCCTACACCTTTCTTATTCATTGCTCCCCATTCTCACCTCAAACAGCCCTCTCTTCTATTTTCATGTACCATGTATGCCATCACACTCTTTTTTCCCCCCTCTCCTCTCCTGGTCCCCCTTTACTTTCAATTCACTCTCACACACACACATACACACACACACACAGACACACACACATACATACATACATACATACACACACACACACACACACACACACACACACACACACACTGTAGCTACACTAGTCCCATGCTATAGTTTATCAGGGGAAGCATAGCTTTACATTTCTGGTCAAAGACAGTTACTAAGTCACTTCTGGATTTGCATATCTGAACTGAGCCATCAAGCATCAAAGCGAATTTCAAGATGGCATGTCTGTGCAGTTCATCAGAATTTCAGAGACAATCCTGATCATGTGTGTGTGGGGGGGGGAGGGGACATGATGACTAGGGACTGCGGACTGTAAGGGAAAGGGACCAGTATTCACCTAAGAGATTCCTTTATCCTCCAAAAGATTTCCTAGAAAACACCAGAATGGAATTGGCTTGGGGTTTTAGACTCAAAATGATATAAATTCTTGAAACTTGAAATGTTACTCTAATCAGTGTATCTAGAAATGTATATGATCTTGCAGGTCACATGAACAAACAGCCAATTACTTTGGCTTTAAAAAAATTATTTATGTTACAGTGCTTATCATGTGCTTGACTGACTTCTTTCTCTCCCTTTGTCTTCCCTCCCTTTCTCCCTTCCTCCCTTCCTTCCTTTCATTGAGACAGGATTTTACTATGTATCCAAGGCTGACCTCAAACTCAAGATCCTCCTGTGTGAGCCTTTAGACTTCAGGGATTATAGGTGTGCACCATCACCCATGACTGTGGTACGTTTAAGTGCCTTACAAACACTAATCCTCAGACCAGACTTCTGACAGAGGACTAGTCTCATTATTTCCATTCTGTTGACTGAGAATCAGAGGCTAAGTATACTGCCCAAGGCCCGAGCTGATCCATAGTGATGTGAGATACACATCAAAGCAATGAGGCTCCAGACTCTTGGACCTTTAGTTTCCACCATTTTTGTTGTTGTTGACAGGGTCTCACTATGTAGCCTGGCTGGTCTCGAACTCTATATGTAGACCAGGCCGACTTCTAACTCACAGAGATCTGCCTGCCTTTGCCTCCCTAGTGCTGAGATTAAAGGTGTACACCACCATGCCCAGCCCTACCACCTCTTACTAAATTTTACAGTTTCCAGCAGCCAACAAGACTTCAGTAAAGAATGAAGTTTAAGTACAACATGCTATAGTTATAAATATATACATACAATAATATGTATGAATGCTTAGCGTACTAATTTTGATTTTATATCTGATAACTTTTTAGCACACAAATCAAAGAAGCAACAGGAGAGTGTTATTTATGTGTATTTGCAATATACTATTAGGGACTTAGTATGCCCTGTATTTTCTTTTTAACACAGGAGGATTAGTTTATTTCATTTATATGGCATTGTCAGTTTATCTAATGTGCAGGCTGAAGACTCAGATAATGAAAATTTATACCACAAAAAACTATGATTCTTAGACCTTGAAGGGCAAATTTTATTCTTAAGGGATGGGTATGGAAATATTCCAGTAACACAGCAAGAGTAGAGATTCCTTTGTTTGCTCCTAAGCCCCATTAACCCCTCTGCCAAAGTCTTGCTCCATCTGTTAATCTCCCTCTGCACATCCAACACAAAAATAAATCCTCTGAAAACCTGACATACTTCTTATTGGTGGGTGGGGAGAATTAAAGAAAATGTCATAAGCAGCAACCCTCATTCCTTAGTTGCTATTACGTTGATTCATCTTGACTTGTAACATTAAGATGCAGGTTGGTTCTTCCTGATCCTTTTTAAACAATCTGGTTTTCTGGTATCTACTTGATCTCCAAGGAGGCTGGCAGTGGATGTACACCTCTGGTGTCACAGCACAAGAGTGTAGTGCTCTTGGTCCTAACTGCCCAGAATGCCTACTGAGTACCAATAAAGCCATCCATGAGATGCAGCTTGTTAAGCCTGGCAGCATTTTAATGATAATCATGTGTATACTTATGGCCACTTTTGTAAAAAGAAGAAAAACTGTTGTGCACATTCTGAGCATTTCACAGATTTTTGGCAAGAACTAATGTATTCTAATATTAAAAAGAAACGCCTTATAACCAGCAAGACCAAATAACACCCCATTACTCAAGAGTGCGAGCCAAAGAATTCCTACATTTGTTTCTCAGTCATATATAGTCTGTGCTAGAGCAAGGATCCTGAGTCATCTGTGCCTCTCTTCAAAGCTCACATTCTTTCCATACATGATGGACTCTATCCTTTCCTGTGGACATTCCCTTGCTCCCACACCAGCCTGTTTCCTATTCTCCTTGGAGCTAAATTTAAATGATAATTCTGATAAGGAAGTCCCTGGAATAAGAATACAAATAGGAATACAGACTAGGAAAAACAAGAATAGTGTATTGGTAAATATAAATTATTTAAATACAAAAGATTATTGTTTAATATTGTCTGCCTTGCACTTAAGGTGTTAATACGAAAATGATGATGATGTCAATCATATTTGAGAATAAAATAGTGGGTATCAGAGTTTTTCAATCTTTTTTAAAATTTGTTTATTCATATTATTTATGTATTTATTTTTACAAAATTATAAATTGTTTTTAATTTCAATTATATAACACTTCAGTTTGCCTTCAATTTTACTGAGATTTTGGTCTTTTTTGCAATTCACTCTATCCTGTAACAGTAAAATGAATTCACATAATCTCATCTCAACAGCGGTCATACGGTATAGTCCCTTGTGATTTTTTATCTACCATTACTTTTAAATTCAACTTTATGATAATTTTCTAAAAGCTTCTTTATATCAAAATATACATTTCCTTCAGATAAAATAATAACTCTCCAATAAGAAAATATTGAGAAACAACAAATAAAAGCATTTAGACCAAAATACAAAAGTTGGATCAGAGTCTAATGAGTACTTTGTACAAGAACAAGTAACCTTGTATTTTTTTTTTTTGAATAATGATCAGACATTCAAAGAGGAAGATACCTTCAGCGTCAGTAAAAAATTTAGCGAATGCTTCTCCTAAAAACAACAATAGGAAATGTACTCTCTGTTCCATCTGTCATTTATAAAAATGAATAAAAAAATAACAGCCAGGTGTGGTGGTGCACACCTTTAATCCCAGCACTCAGGAGGCAGAGGCAGGTGGATCTCTGTGAGTTCAAGGCCACCCTGGTCAACATAGTTCCAGGACAGCTGGGGCTACATGGAGACCCTGTCTCATAAAGACTAAAAATAAAT